ACAAGTCTTGTATAAATACAATTAAAAGTATTTTACATCACATATTAAAACTATAAAACTAATTAAGTTTTAATTATTGAATAAACTTGTTCTGTGTTAACAAAGCGGATACTCTGTTATGCAATGACAAGACTGTATTGTCTCACGAATGGCATAAACTTGTAATGTTTATGGTCTACAATAATTGTGTCATCAAATTATGGTTAATACCGGTAGAAATTTGGGCACAATTTTGTATGTCTTGTCATAACTAAGGATCTATTACTTGTTTTCTTGACTATTATTTGGTATAAATTTATTAAATAATAGAAATTTATATTAAATTAATTGAATGTAAACTAATGGTAAATTTTAAAAAAATAAACCCACATCTTGTCATCACTTATCGATTCCAATGACTGATACATAAATAAATTGACAAAAATAGACAAATTAATCAGTTTTTGCGGCACTTTTGGCCGTTTTGTCGGTTTGTGTCAAGTTTTTGTCCTCATTATAAGCGATGTAAACGAATCCAAAGAGTATAATGTGAACGACAACGACGGCAGCGATGGCTGAATAGATGTTTGCCGATTGAGTGAACGTTTCAAATACAGGTCTCGACAAGAAGTAGGCGGCGATCGGCAGCGTTACCATCGCTATGCTGTAGTAGACCAAAGTCATCAACGGATTCCGTGCCATCTCTTCTCCAGTAATTCTCTTCTCGTTAGTCAGTTATCAACAATTCTTGTCAGTGTAGCCCGAGAGTTAATCGCTAGATATGTAATTAACAGTTTTATTAATCGTTTATAAATTGGCGTATAATACACGGTTTCATAACCATTTAGAGAATTAATGAAGTTAGTATCAATTCTCATATATGTCTATGAATTGGCTAATCGTAAAGACGTGAACGTAAACTACAATTATATGCAAATTGTCATAACATTGACAATACATTCAATTCACTCCTAATGTGTGAAAGATATGATTGAATTGAATAGCAATACAATTAACTCCCATAAAGTGCTGTCATTTAAAAGGGGGTAATATTTGAGGGCAATATAAACAAGCATGGTCAATTGGAAGGGCAGCAGCTAATCATTACAATTAGTCTTACATGTGTGTCGAGTTGTGTGACTTAATGGTGACAATGGATGGCAATATACAGTAATATTGCGAGTAATCAATTGATTGTATGACTGGTCCGACAATAACAGCAATAGTGATGACAAGAATGACAACAATGTGTTGAATGTATTGTTTGAATGCAATGGCAATGCGTTTGCGCTTTCATTACGATTGCAATACAGCTATGAATGAGTCAAACATTTGAATCGTTCAAACGTTGAATACATTTAATACAATTGAACGCCAATTGTTTGCAATCAAATCCCATTCACTCTTCAATCGACGCCATTATCACCTCTTTGGACACCATTGAAGACATTGAGTGACTGAATCGGGAGCCAATCGGAGCCGTCTAGTGATGGACGACGAGAGTCTAAGACATAATGTGATAATGATTTTGTTGGACGTATTGGTGACGAGTGATCAGCCGTTGACCGTCAAAGAGTTGGTCAGCAAATTGGGTCTCTATAGCGACTACAGTGTCCTCAGCCGTGGCCTCAGACGCATCACCGGTCG